CACATACACACACATACACACACATACACACACACATACACAACACACAGACACACAAATATTAAACAGGATTCTATTAAGACGATTAGATCGGAGGCTTAAAATGGCAAAACTAACAAATATTATATGAATGTCATGTGTGTGTGTGTGTGTGTGTGTGTATGTGTTTGTGTGTGCACCATTTCTGTGATTTGAATGGATGCTAACCAGGTAGACTGAGAAAACTAACAGTTATTGAAGAAATTTAATGATTGAAGGGGTTGGATGAATTTCCTGTGACATTATTGGATTCAACGGTGAAAATGCAATTTGTTATGTATGAATTTTGAGAGATGTAAGAGAAGAGGAACCGTTTTCTTTAAGCACTAAAATGATGATGAAATAACTCCCACCATCGTCTTTTTCATTTTCTTTTCAATCCATAATTTCTCCCAATATATTATTGATTTATTATATGATGAATATAATTCACGGAAATTTTCATATGTTTACACAGGTGCTAATGTTATGATTAATATCCGTAAATGTAAACGATGAAATAATGCAATGACTCGTTCATTCATTCCTTCATCCATTATATATTTTAAAGCAATTCATCAAATTTTTTATTCGATAGGATGATCATAATTTTAATTTATTAGCATATTTTGCTAATCTATATTACTTCTTCACTCTTCCTCTCCCTTTCTCCTCGTTTTTTTTTTCAGTCTTATCTTTTCAAGGTTTTGTTTACGGAATCAACGTTTTAGTTAGTTAAAAAAATTGGCAAAGCAAACAAGTACAAGTAAGAAATAAACAAATCAGATAGCTATAAGTAATTGGTTAATTATGAACAAGTAATATATGAGGTAAATAATAAATCAGTTAAGTGTAAGTAATAAATTAGTTAAGTACAACTGATAAGTCAGAAAACAAATAACAAGTAATAAATTGAAAATAAGTAACGAATAAGTTGTAAGATTAAAAAAAAATTGATTAAGCGCACGAAAGAGAATCACTGACCATCTTTTTTAACGTTCGATTGAGCAACATTTTTGGTTATTATTCATTACCAAATAACCAATTAATCATTTATCATAAATTAACCAATCGTAAAATTTGTATTTAACATTTCCCATACACACATTACTTCATCGTAATTGAATGTTTAAAATTTCTCAATACATTATTGTATTTGTTCACTATACTTTATAAGTAATCTTATTTCTATTAAATTTTTAGTTTAAATTTACAATCTATAAACTTATTGAATAAATTTTAAGTTAATTTATGACATAATTTTTATGGGAATAATTTGCAACTTCGTTAATTGACGTATTTATTGATTGACTTTCTCATTCAAACTTTTTATTCATCAATTTGAAGTATTTATTGTGTGAATTTGAAAAGAAATATTTGTACAACGGAAACAGAAAAGAGTACAATAACTTATATTCACTTCATGTTACTGAATGACAAATTCCAATTGGATCAGCAAAAGCGAAACATGAAAATCACTTCCATCAATTGTAAATATTTTCTATGAATCATAATTTGACCATTGTTAACTTGTCGATGTAAATTTGTCGAATTTTGGAACGTTGAAGGATGAATAATTGTAACATTATCGTTTAAGTATGTGAACATTTATCGATTTTTGATTTATTAACTGGAAATCATTGAAGTTAATTTTGAATTATCGTCATAATTATATTATCACTTTGAACTGTCGTTGCAACTGTGCTTGGTTTTATTTACCGTCAAAGTGATCTACTTCATATAAGAAGAATCAATGGTTTTTTTGATTTCATTCATGTTTATTTTCTGTAATCATTTATAGTTTCGTTTTTGGGATGAAAAAATAGATTTATTTATTCTGAAATTAAGGTTATAAAATCTGTTACCAAATATATAATATGTAGTTTGCAGCGTGCAAGTTCAACGTCGTCGTTACGTATGGAATTTTAATCTTTGTTATACGTGAGTTTGCAATAAATTTTAAAACTTATACTTTCTCATGAAGAATCTGTGCTGAATTATAATTAAATACAATATGCCGCTGAAATACATTTCCAAAACTAAAAGTCATAAAAACATTAGTTCATTCATTTGTTTACTTTAAATCACGTAAGTATACGTATTATTATTTGTGCTTCGATTTTTCATCACACCTTATATGCACGTATGTCTTTTAAGGTAGCATTTTCTTATTTTCTTTGAAATTTAAACTTTTGCAATCAGTTGAAGCAATAATCGAAATTTCAATAAGATTTTCTTAATTTTTCTATTTAGCATCCAATTATAAATTATCAGTATTGTTGTACTTCTGAAATTTATTAATGTTTCAAAATTTTATAACAAATGCTAACTTAATAGTAAATTTGAAAATTGAATGATTAATTTTTATTTCACGTTTGCTCCTCTGCTAATATCATTTGAAGTTTTTGATGTGCTGAAAATATTCAATACATTCAATTTATCAAATTTCATTCAACTTCAAGCGATTCTTCTCGTATGGTATTGGCCTCACGATAAAAACAACAACATATTATCGTTCGCAACCTATACAATGTCTTTGCCATTAATTCAATGAATAATGGATTTAGAAGTGCATACAAAATTGGATTCCAAACATTATTTGCCATCGCTACCCTGAAGAAAATTAACTGAAATGAAATTATTTAAGAACTTATGACAGCATAATTATTCCATTTATTATATTATTAATAAATAATGAAATTCTTCTATTACAAAGTAGGTTTAACGATGATTTAGCTGTACGTATGTATCATAAAAAATGTAGTCAAAAACTGAAAGTTTTATGAATTTAGTTATAGCATAAAGATAATTGCTTAATAATCTCGATAATTAATTGATTATCATTAAATTATTGCATACTGGAGTAGTAGATTAAATATTTAACAGCGGCTACATACATTATTTATCGGAAATCCGAAATTCTACAAAATACTACCATTAAATAATTTCATAATACAAAATTATTCAATGGTAGTATTTTCCAGAAATTTATACTGTAAAACACTATTATCCAAAGAATTGTCAATAGAAAGATTTATCGTGATGTTAACGACAAAATTTTATTTGCTTAAGTAAAATTGCATATGTATATGATTAGCTACTGTTTTTTTTTTTAATTTAATTTTGCCAGAAATTTACAAACAAATGATTTGTATATATGTATTTTTACATTTTTTTTTAAAATGTATTTTAACGTCTATTTTATTATATCGCCTATTTATTACATTAATTTAATGAATGGTGTGAAAAAAAATTGAATAATTATGTATAAGAATTACATATATACCAATGGGTAAATAAATTGATGAGATAAATACTGTTGACACCATCGCTACGTTCAAATAAACTTTCGTCAAATTCCATTAATAATGAAACAATATTATGAGGAAGCCATGATACGGCAAATAATACAACCATACTAACGAGTAATATCGTATTGCGCCTAGCATTTGCTACTAATTCGTTTCGTAAACGATCCTACAAAATCACAAAAAAGAGAAAGAAAAAATGATTGTAAAAAAATGTAGTTTTAAAATTTGAAAAAAAAGATTGATTCATACCTATTGTTTCTCAATAATTATATCCAAAAATTGTAGGAAAATGCGGGAATATATTTGATTATTTTGAAAGTTGCTTCAATTATTTATTAAAATGATAGATTTGATTAATGGAACTATCAATAAAGTTCGACAAGATTTTCCTTTCTTTTCCGCCAATTTGATTATTTAACAGTTTGTTATTTCAATTATTATTTTAGATGTGAATTTGGAACTATGAAAATGTGTTAAGAAAATAATAAAGCTGAAATGAATTTGCAAATAAATATCAGGATTAGAATAATTTAATTTCAGAATTAGATTGATTTATTACTCTGATGTTAAATTTATTAATTATTTACCTGATTTTTTCTGAAAGCATTACCATGATAACTTCTTTTGCAATCAGCCATATCATTGTTCGAATTTTCTGTTAAACATGCTGATGCCATAGCCAGTGAACGTTCCTTTAAGCGCCTAAAATCACTTTTTCCACTGATATTTTCAAAATTTTAACCGGAAAAATCTTATATTTTTAATGCATTTCGTAATAAAATAAATTTTTCGAGAAAATTATTTCGCAATAGAAATACTTATATTGAAAACTTAAGAGTGTGGCTCAAGTAATTTCCAAAAGTTTCCATTCAAAAAAAATGCAAAGTGAAAATTTCGAAATTAAGGATTAAAATAGAATCTAAATCATTGATCCATGCTGCTTATTTCGAATTGTATGTTTAGCTAATTCAATATAACTTATTAACTTATGTTAGCAATCAACCAGTTATCTGTAGACATGATAGATTATTATTAAAAACTATTCAATAATAATATGGGAGGAATTGAATATCTATAGTTCCGGTTAGTACACGGATAATTTTATTCCGATTACTGTGTACCGATATCATTTTTGATTTGATTTAAATTACAAAAATACTTTACATGATCTTCTTTGACGTCCTTTTTCTTAGCTCAGCAAAAATATGATAATAGCAAATGAACATAATTGTTAATGGAATTACGAATTGTACCACAAAAACAAATATCTGTAACGAACAAATTTTCCATATTTATATTAAGTGATGCAAGTTTTTTCCTTCTTTGTTTCGTTTTTCTTTCTCACTCTTCCTCTCTCTCTCTCTCTCTCTCTCTCTCCCTCTGAAGATCGCTGGAAATTTTAGAATATTTTCAAGATATAAATCTATCAAAATATTAGCATAAGCTACTAACGCACCATTTATTAATTTCATCTCTTCCATATTTTCCTCAATTATTTTTTATTCCACAAATTATTATCCAAAGCAATTTTTGTTGAAAATGAAGAATTAACAAAGTATTAATTGATTTTTGCTAAATTATATGATAATTGTGTCCATTAGAGATATCAGAACTGTTTGCTCTTTAATTCATATTAATTTTCATATTCTTATTAAATCTTCTCGAGGATGACTATCATGAAATATGCTAAAATATTGCATTGGAATAAGTAATTACCATCTGATATTCATTCATATTATTAGGTATAAATAATAATAGAATATAATAACTTAATTACTTGCCGTATATATGGTTCTGAGACGAGAATTTGGCCAATTTTCGGTACAAAATTGTCCACAAATTCCGTCAACAACAACAAGATCCATGTACATTGCATACGGAAGCGTTGAAATGATTGATAACGTCCAAAGAATAATTGTTATATACATGGAGCGCTACAATTAAATGAAGAAGAAAAAATATATTTAATTGTTTTCATATGTTTTAATTGAAAATTAAAAAAATAAAATAGGAAAAATTTGGTTAAAATAAAAATTATAACATTATTATAATTTATTCAATATAAAACTGGAATTTTTCTTTCTTCCCCACTATTTTCATTTTCCATTATCACATTTTTTTGTCAATTTCATCCATTATTCTTAATATTTTGCTTGTTTAATAAATTCTATTAGCCGCTTTTTCCATAAAATATCAGTTCATAAAAACAAAAAAAAATAAAAGCATTAAATAAAAAAAAATGTTGCCTTTTCCCGTTTTAATTCTTTCTTTAAATGATAGTCAGCAGAATGATGTTTTCTTTTTGGATGAAAATAAAGGAAAGAAATTTATTAAAAGTTTTATCACTTTAAAATCGTATTTTATCAATAATTAATTTTTATCAATGACAAAGTTTATTAATTAATTTTAGGAGATGTATGTAATTGAGAAGTAAAAAAAAAAGGGAAAAACAAATGTTCCAACTCCTATAATTAGAAAACAACTCTTTTAAATAAAGCATTCATTTCTTTTTTTTTCAGAATTTCTAGTTTTTTAGAAATTATAAATAAATTAGGACAAAATATTATGAATAAAATTATGTTAAAAGTAAGAAAAAATTTTTTCATAATCATTATCAAGCAATCTTAATTATAACACGATGAAATTGCAGTGATCTTTGTTTATGCTATCCATAATTAATTGGTTAATTGATTAATGTTGTTGGTCGATTTTTTCAATTGATAAAGCAATCGCTTTTTTTCGTCATCACAATTTGAATATTTTGTTAATTCACATCAATTTGAATACAATGCATTTTAAAATAATAATTTTGCTTTTCATAATTATAATCATAATTATTATAAAATTACAATTAATAATCACAATTTGAAAAATTTTAGCTTAAAATTTAATTTTCATATTTAATTCTTATTTTATACCTTCCATGATTATAAATATTTTTAATTCGTCATTAATGTATGCTGAAATTCTTATTGATCATTAAAAACAAAAATCTTTCTAAAATTTTTTTTTGATATCGAAAATTTTACTCAACAAATTGTTAAATGTCAATCTCTCTCACTGTCGCAATTGTTTCTTATTCGAATAATATTTCCGGTCAATCATTCTCAAAAAAAAAAAAAAAAAAATTGAAAAAACTTAAACCTTGTCCTTCCAAAAGGAAAAAAGCGAAAAAATAACGATAATTAATTAATTAGCTAATTTTAATAGATGGAAAGGGAACGAACAGTTTTATTGATAATCCTTCTGGTTGGCAAGATCACCATAATATATCGATCAACAGAAATGGCGCACAAACTAAAAGTACCAATGAATACCGCAATTCCTTGCATCCACGGAAGTCCGTGACACATTGCCGAACCAAAGTACCAATTTTTGTAAACATTGGTAATTGGTGTAATTGGTAATGAAAAGATGCATACAACTAAATCAGCACTAGCTAAATTCAATATGAACATATTCTGAAATTTAAAAATTAATAATTAATTTCAATCTTTCTAACGTAAAAATGAAGAAAATTAAATTATTTAGAAACTAATTTCAAAAAATTATTCTAGCAATCTAAAAATTTTATTTTATTTTTGATTAATTAGAAATGGATTAATGATGAGTGATAACACGATATATGAACAATTAAACAAATTAAGTCATTTTTGTCTTTTTCATGTTTCCGCTTATTCTTATATACAACTACGAATTTTTCTTTCCTTTTTTTTGTGAAATAAATATCCTATTTGATTTTAATACAAATAATTTTATGCATGAAATATCTTTAAAAATTATACATTATATAATCCTGAAAATATTATATTAAACTATTGTATATAATTCAAATTTGTTCGATAATTCAAATATTACTGAAAAATATTATGTAATTCAAAATATTACTGATAAATCATAGCATCGTTTGTTATCATCTGTTAAACAATATAAATAATTTAATAATTACCATTCGCATCCATTTATCTATCTTTGTATGCATTAATAAAATAAAAAAAATTATTGAGAAAAAAATAAAAGATAAAAATACTTGAACTGTTTGAAGTTTTCGATTTGATAAAGTAAGACAAATCACCAAAACATTTCCTATCACTCCAAGGATGAATATCAGTAAATATGCTATTGCAAATGGTATAATTGCACGAATATCCATTGATGGATCACGAAATTTGTCCTGAAATAATTTATGCACAAATTATCATTCATTGATGTTTAATTTTCAATGCAATAAATTTATGTTTGATTTTTAATGCAATAAATTTCAAAAGAAATAAATAAAACAAAAAATAAAAAATAGAAAAAAATGAAAAAAAAGCCATTATAACGAATAGAAGAGAAATTACTTTAATCAATATTTATCGCCATATAATATTATCGTTTATTATTATTACTACTATTATTGTTATTATTATTGTGATTATTTCCACATTAATGCTGATCGTTGTTATTATCCTATTACTAAGACTTATCACATTGTTATCATCACCATTATTGTTATTCGTAAAATTTCTTAACTTATTAATAAAGTTTCATTTTTTGGATTAGAAATTGGATAATCATTTCAAATAAGTTATTAAATTCTCTATTTGATTACGGTAATATCATTCAATTGATATGGTAAAAGACTTATAATTTTCAACGCCAAGAGTAAAAAAAGATTTTGGCATTTTGAATTAAAATATTATGCTGATTTTATTCATCTATCAAAATAATACTTTTGAGAATAACCAACATTTTCTTTGCTGTACAA